CACGCAGGTTCCAGACTAACGAATGGAAATTTCAATGATTTATTCCATAGCAAAGGAGAAATATATCCTTGGATCAGAGTAGATTTACTTGGAATGTATGTAATTCAAAAAATGTCTGTTACAAACAGAAATGGATATTGTAAGTGTTGAATTTTGTTTTTTCAATATGATAAATGAAATATGTTTAAGAAATATTCTCTTTCATAGACGCATTTAGAGCGAGAAACGTAACGGGAATCGTATCGAATTATTCAGAATTTTCAATTGAAAATCAACATTTATTTTCTCAAATTTGCTTTAGTAATAATGGATTATTTGATCAAGGAGAATATAAAATGTGGATATGTCAACAACCATTTCCTATTGGTAGATTTGCTATACTATATCTTTACGATAATGATAATCCTATACATTTGCATATTATTGAATTTGAAGCCTATGGCGAAGAAATAGTTAATCATAATTTTACACTTTTATCACTAGTTAAAAGTGACAGAAATGTTAATATTACCAATATTTTTGACAGCAGCAATGGTGGAAAAGATGAATTTCCTTTAAAAATTATTGACAATTTAGCTTCAAATATTATTTTAGAAAGTGAATTTTTGTCTTGTAGCGGAACTTTAACGAATGGAAATTTTGAGGGAAGAATCAGTATTTATTTGAATAATTTTCATATGATTCATCAAATTGCTCTTCTTTTTCCACTTTTATCCGATGAAGGTATTGAAAATATTGTCCAGTATATACTATATATATATTTCTATATTTCTTTATTTATTCATTTCAAAAAGATGAAAACCAAAAAAATTCTCAAAATATAGAAACTACAGTTGAAATACTTTCAACTGAAATACAAAGACAAATTTGTAATTTAACAAACAAGCCAAGTTTTGAATATTTCTTTTATAACTGTAAATTTATTGGTAATAGAATATCATTTTATAAAATTGACGAAAATAAAAATCCTATTCAAATTTGTCAAGTTTATATTTTTGGTGAAAAAATATCTTCTAACTTACAAAGTTTGTCATTTTCTTTTTATTAATAAATTATTTTTCAATTCTTTTATTTATTAATAAAAGATTCAGGTAGAATTTTGAATGGAACAATTGGTTATTCGACGAAAATTTACAGATTTACCATAACTCTTTTTGCGGTTATACTACTCAAGATTATTATGTACAATTACCAGTTTATAATCAATTCAACGCAATTGGATTTTCTTTAAGAAAAACAGCAAATTTTTCATTAGGTTTACAAATTTTTGGAGTAAAATATAGCGAAGAAATACTTTGTACAAAATTGTATAAAATTCTTAAAGTTATTCAACCAACATTCTTTACATTTCCTTGTAATGAAGAAATTATTGCAAAATATTTGAGAATTTATTCATCGAATCAAGAATACGAAATTTGTAATTATTACGTAATCAGTAAAATAGAAATAAACACCAATTTGACAGGTAAAAAAACTTTTAATTTGGTAATAATTGATTGAGTTTGAAAAATATTTCCATTTCAAAGTTTATAATATGTTGAAAAATGAAAATACATCCATCAAACCAGAATATACCTACGCCGTAAAGGAAACAGTTGACTTTTTATCTTGTTATTTATCTTGCCTAAATGAAAATGAATGCGAAAGTATAAACTACTCAACAATTGATAAAAGTTGTAAATTTAGTAAATTTGCAATTCTATCAAATTTACGAGGTTATTTGTTAGAAAATACTTGCAAAAAGTCTTGTGTTACACTATATAAAGTGGATAATTGTGAATTTGAACTTTGTTGAATAAAGGGCGGTGACGATGTAAAATGTTTGAAATCATCAACGTCAATCCGAAGATTTGTGTTCCGTAAACCTCAAATTCTTTGTCGCGAAATGTAATCTACTTTTAACTAGATATTTATTAACAAAATTACGTAATAAATGTATGGATTTTCGCAATTTTTCCAATCGTTACACATTACAGTTAGTTGTGCAAGACTTACTGTTTTCTTATCGTTGCTATAGCTACGCCCTCAATAATAATTCAATAAACTATTTAAAAGCCAGACTGAAACAAAAGTACAAGATAGTTATTGCAATGTTAGTTTTGTATTACTGAATTATTTTTTCAGGTTGAATTGAAAATGGTTTGGAGCGAAAGCGAACCAAGTTGCTTTAAGTATTTTATTGTAAAATTCTTTATTGCAGAAATTCACTTTGCACCTTAGCAACTGCAAAAACTATGTATATAAATGACTGGTTTCACTAGTATGTTCAGTGAGAGAACATTGTCAAGACACTGACTGTCTGCGTTAATTGGCAGATGTCGTCAATATGGTGGATTGGAAATGGATCACTGGTTTAAACAAAGACTAACAGTTATCAGATTGATTGCTTACTTCTTTTTACTGCATGTTTTAATCATGGAGTAAAACTGGGTTTATTTCTTTTTCAAAAGATTCACATCTTTTCAATTTGTTTTTAAACCTCGGTTGATGAATTGTTCTACTTCGAAAGCAGCTCTGCAATCGAGCTATAAAGCACACAAAAGGGCAGAAGTAGAATTTTTCAGAGACCACATCATTTTGCGATTTAACTCTACTGTGACTTGGCAATTAGTAGTTTTAAACAGCATATGATTGCGGTCTATGAATCTTATCTTCTAATTCATTGCGAAGTATGCAAAAAGTCTGTCTATAACTTCAATTTGTTTGAATCATGGCTATACTTCTGGTCTACCAGTTTCATTGAGAGAACTTGCATTAAATCAATTTGGGGGAGTTGACAGAAAATGTCCACAAATGAAAAATTTCAAGACAAAAATTTGGATTGAGAAATGGTTAGGCAAAAGAAAACAGCAACTGATTTGTATTTAGGAGGGTCTCCTTTAAGGGTTAAGGGTAATGGAAAAGGTTAGCTACAGCTAAGGGCTGGGTTAGGCTTAGGGTAAAAGTACTGATTTGTGGATGTTTTCTGTCGCATCCCAATTTGAGCTATATTGTAAATATGAAAATTACAGGCCTACAAATAGAATTTATTTATGAATGCGTAATTTCTAGTATAGATTAAAAATAAACAGGTTGTGTATAATGGAGTATATTAATACAGCAAATGTTAATTGGTGTACTGGTATGATGGAACAACAAAAAATTCATAATAATAATAAAGGTTATTTGATGCGATAGAAAAAGGCTCCCTGTTATATCACACATACTGTATAAAATATAATCATTAGATTAGGGCCACATGCCAAACATGTGCCACTGCAAACAGGCCTGCCTCATCAGCATCTGGTATTTGATATGTATCTTTTCCATGTTCTTTGTTCCTTTGTTAATTCCCAAGTAGACAATGTCTCTTACAGTTAAAGAGTCTATTTCTTACGAAATAGAGTTCTTTCTAAAGTACTGAAAGCTAACAATATGAATTAAAAGTTTTTCTAAAGTTCCACTATTATAATTGCTATGAAATAGAAGTATTTCTATAGTTGCACCATTGTAATTCCTATAAAATAGAAGTCTTTCTAATGTTGCCTTATATCTAAAGTCTAAGTATTCGTTCACTCATTATTTCTAAGTGCACAGTGAAAAAAATTTTAGTGTAACAAAAAATATGGGAAGAGGTGGAGTAATGATTTGGGGACCAATAACCTCAGATGGGGTGTTTGAGGTTTGGAGGATTAGTCAAAACTTGGCAGCCCAAACATATAGCTGATTTGTTGTGGAAAATGTTCTTCCTGTCACTGAAGAGATATCACTCAAAATGGGCCGGAATTATGCCTTCCAACAAGACAACTCAGGCTGCCACACTGCAAGAGCTAATAGGAGGGCCTTTAGAATGAATGGTATAAATCCAATTGATTGGCCAGCAAAGAGCCCTGACCTTAGCCCAATAGAAAATATGTGGCACCTGACAAAGAATTTAGTGTATGATGGGGCACAATTTCAATCTGGGAATGAACTGTGGGAGAAAATTAAAAAATGTTCATAACAGGTTATAAGACAAAGTCCTGACTTGCTACAAAAATTATATACAGGGATGGGGGGTAGGATTAGTAAATGCATTGAAAATGAGGGTTGTCATATTCAGAAATATTAAAATTATAAATCCCCCAAACATTGTCAGAGTAATAATGTCTCAAGACCAAATAAGAAAAAAATCATTAAAAAATCAATAATAAGAAAGCAAAAGCACTTATGTAAAAACTTAACTAAATGATATTTAAAAGAAACTCATGTGTAACTCTTCTTGCCTGAATGACTGACATATCATACACAAATAATGATTTCCAGATGATGGCAACAGATAAGGTTAAAGCCATATTTCCTCAACTAGGGAATAATATATGACATAGATGCATATGTCATAGATTCACTATCCACAATACCAAGACAGTCTGTAAATTATATACAGCCCACTAGTGAATACTGGACTTTCCCTCTCCCCTTCAAACACAATCCAAACACATTAGAGAATAATTATGAGATGACAAAGAGCTGGATTCCAGGCCTTTCATTCAGAGCCTATTTACAATGATGAGTTTGAAATTGGAATTAAATAATCCATATTAAACTGAAGTGCATTCCTCTCTTAAATGAAAATAGGAAGAGATTTTAATTTTGTAAAATTGCCTAAATAAGAAAAATAGCTAGGATCAATAATATTTCTAAAAATTGCGTACATTGTTGATGGCATTTGAAGAATTTTTATATACTTTATTCAATTATATATTAAAAAGAACATTTTATTATATAGTTTTCTTACTAAGGTGATAAAAAACAAATTAATGTTGCCAGTCTCTTTCAAAAGTGCAAGATAGGCTAATGAATGTGAATAGGACAGGTTGTTTATTGAGAATTCTCTTCAATTATATCTAAAAAGTACTAAAAACTTTTATGATTTTCATAACCAACCCTAAAATAATCTAAAGGCTTTGCATGACTATATAAATGGTTGATTTTAAAATAGAACTCAACAAATAGGGCTAGAGGAGTGAATATTTTAAAAAAATGCAGAAATTTCTTTTAGTTTTACTAAATATAATTCTACTGCAAACTTCATTGCAAACCCTTTTGCTGAATGAAATAAATTATGAACAAGATTATATAGAGATTAAGAATGTTGGATCAAGTGCTGTAGATTTAACTCCAATTTATCTTTCTGTCATAGTTCTTAAAGGTGGTACACCTACAATGCATAATCCTTCTGGATTACATGGTTCCATACAACCAAACGACTTTCACGTAATTCAATTTGACCCTGTTAGAAATAAAAGAGCTGTTCAATTAACACTAGATTATTTCTATCTTCCAACAGGTGGCCCAAGAGCAGTACTATCCAGAAATAAAATTGAAATATTTCTGAGAAAAAATCTTACAAATCTAAAAGTAATAATTTCAAAAGAAGACAACTACTTGACAGGTCATTATCTAAATATCAAATTCAACAATTTCAACATTTTGACAAGCGTCTATGGAGGACTAATTGGAGATATTGGAAGAAAAAATGTTAATGTTATTCCATCTGCTCAGAGTCATACTAGTGCTATTTTTCAAATTAATGGAAAGTATGTTGAAGCAATAAAGCCCAGCAACCAGGCTTTATCCATCTACTAATAAATTATTAACATAAAAAGAATTTAGATGTTTAGTTTCAGAGTTTTATTGAATAAGAAGGAAAAAAAAAACAAAATGCTTTTAAAGGCAATTATCCCATTGCATACATAAATTATCACTTATTCTTTGACTTCTCTGTCTAGATTAGTAAAATATAAAAGAATTGGTGCAGAGATAAGAAAAACAGATGAATTCTTCAAATATTGGCTATAAAGTTTTGTATGATGTAACCAAATTTCAGAGTGTTGCATTAAAATTACTTTTATATCTGGAATTAATCTTTGGATTCTTTCTATCATCTCTAATTTTATTGCTGTTTATTATATCGAAATCTGCTAGAGAATCTTTTGGATATTTCATCTTTCCGCTATCTTTAAATAACCTCCTTTTAGTTTTATGGTTTTTCTTCATCAATGTTAGCACAGATAGTGGATTTGTGATTGAATTATCTCCAATAATGTGTTCAGTAATATTAATTGTACCCAGTTTAATGAATACTCAATCTCAGTTCAATTTTTTGGGTTTACTTTCAACTAGATATTTATTAATAAATTATCCTTTTAAATATAATCAATATTGTAATATAAAAGTAAAATTGTTTTCCTTGATACTCGTAAATCTTTCATCAATTTTCCTCTCGTTAATTCCAATATTTTCAGATTTATCAGATCCTCTGATTTGTTTTAATTTTGTTTCAAAGCAAGGTGTAGTATTTTATATATATTTTGTACTTTCTTTTGGACCAATTCTGGCAAGTTTATTATTATATTTTCTAATTTTAAAAGTGGCTAGAAGACATGCAAAATTAATGAATACTCAAATGAAACAATCTCAATCAATATCTAAATCATCAAAAATTACAGTATTCCAGCTATTGTTTGTTGTAATTCTATGGATATGTTATCTTATTCTTTTAAAAAAATTTTCATCCAATCTGCTTAGCATCAGTTACAAAATATCTCTTATTTTGGAAATAATTTTGTTAATGGCACCTGGAATTATATCATTTATACTTTTGATCAGTAATGTTCATGTTAAAGTCCTGTCAAAGAAATATTTGAATTGCAATGGCCAGATATTTCCTTCAGAAAATAACTCTATCGCTTGAACTGTTTTTGTTTTTCTCAATAGACTGAAGCTATTAGTAATCGTCAAAAAACTCATAATATTCTATGTTTTGTTTAGAGTCCTTCTAATGATTATCTCTCTAAATTGATGAATGTCATCTTGACTATGCTATGAATGTATGAATGTATGAATGTCTGTCAGACATCTCCCAAAATAGCACCCTGAAAATATTTTACAGGCTTCCTCCTACGTCGGGCACGTTTGATCTTGTTGTATTGGGACAATATACCAGATGTGAGGTCGGGAGTGTTGAAAAAAGTATATAAAGTGCTTAATAAATGTGTTGATTTTGGCAATTTTTGCAATCGTTACACATTACAGTTAGTTGTACAAGACTACTGTTTTCTTATCATTGCTATAGCTACACTCCTCAATAATAGTTTAATGAACTAGTTAAAAGACAGACTGGAAGGTTCTATTTATGTGAGTACTTTGGTAAGTTTACAATTTCAATTCTTAGTCATTGATTTTGCTTCCAATTTCATCAAAATCAGCCTAGTAATATAATTCATTCTAATGGAACTGATGTAAATATTTTCTATTGTAAATGGAATAGTTCTAAACATCAATTTTGGGGTATTTTTCCTTTGACTGTTTCCCACAAACAATTGGGACCCTTGAAGTGTGAGAATTCTGTTCAAACAAACCCTTTACAAACCCAAGCCCAATCTTAAAAGTAAATATAAGAATGAAAATATAAGTAGGTTTTTTCTAGTTTCGTTCTTCTATTTAATCTAGACAACTTGGATTGAAAAAGTTACTGTTTACAAAGAAACCATTTACAAACGCAACGTAAGAATGAAAGTATAAGTAGCTATTTTCTAGTTTCGTTTTTCTATTTAATCTAGACAACTTGGATAAGACTGAAAGCACATAGGCGCTTCTTTTCACTTAGCAAATAAACACAATTTGTTGTCAATGGTTGGCTTTTTTTATTTAGGCCATTCATAGCTTTTTCTTTCACATGTTTTCACAGGGAAAAGAGAAAGCAAAAAGCTAGCAGAGAAAAAAAACCATGGATGCTGTTAGAAGACTACTATTGACCAAACATGAAACAAAGTTGCAAAAATTACTTGATAATAAAAACAATTTTTTTTTCGCTACCGACTTTCTTGTACAGGAAGGCGTCTACAACTGTGAACAAGGTCAAGACAATAAGCAGAGCTATGAAGAAAGCAATGACAAAGCAAATATAATAGATGCAACTATTAATGATATTTTCAACAATGAATTCTCCCTGACGGGACTGTTCAGTGAAATGGACAATAAACAATCACAACAGTTGGCTCAAAACTTTACCGACGAAAAGAAAGTTGAAGTTTGGGAAAATTTGATAAAACTTGTCAAAATGAGGCGAAAAGAAGAACTTTCAAATGTTCCAATCCTTCCATTGAGACAAAATAATAGACAAAAATTAGATAGTTTTAGAGTTCCATTAAAACTGTCACAGACTAAGGAAAATGTTGAAAATGAAGAAACAACAGTTGAACTTGAGGAAGAAGAGGTTTTTCAAGAAATATTTGAAAAAAAAATAAAAGAAAAGAAATGGATATTTGTGGGATGTCCTGGAGCAGGTAAGACTCTTCAAAGTCAACAAATCATCTACAACTGGTCCAACGACAAGGAGGCGGCTTATCAGTTAAAACACCAACTGCTGCTCTCTATAAATGTTAGTCGAATAGATGAGGAAGCCAACAGTCTATCTGCAGTGGTGAAAAAGCAAAATTTCAACAGCCAAATATTTGACTACATCAGAGAAGATACTGTAGAGGCATTGTTGAAAGATGATAATTCAAAGACAACTCTCTTGATAGATTTAGGTAAGGAATGTTTTTTGAAAAAGCAGTGGATATCAACACTTTTATTGCAAGAAAAATATCCAATAAGAATGATTATCTGGGTGGAAAGTTTACAAAACAATGATTTAAGAATAAATGCTGCTGGTGTATTTCAACTGTTAAAATTTAATGATCAACAAATTCAAGCATTATACACAAAAATGGTGAAACAGCAAAGTAAACAATTATGGGACTTCAACTCGAAATTAAGGCAATTGAGTGAAACTCCAAAGATTGCTATGATAATCTCGAGCCTTTGGTTAGAAAACAAGGACCTGTTTAACAAGAAGACTCCATATTCTATGTTGGATCCAATATGCAAATATGGCCAGCACTTTGAAGAGAAAGATGTTCAAAAGAATTTCTTTCAATTTTGTTTCAACAACATCATACAAGAAGATGGTAGCCCAATTCAAGAGTTTGACAAAATAGAGGAAATAGCGAAATGCTATTCAAATGTTCTATTTACAAAAGTTGATGACACTCACTCTGAGCCTAATTTGAAATTTCATTGCAACTTGTTCAAAGAGTATTTTGCAGCAAAACATTTAGAAACACAAGTTGAAAATATGAAGAAAGCAAAGGAGAGCGATAATATAATGGAAATGGAAAATATTTACGAAATCATCAATAGAACTAAGAATCCAAAGATTTATAATATAATAGCATTTCTTGCAGACTACTGTGAGAAAACCTACAACAAAATGATACTGGAACCCTGCTTTAAAGATAAGGTTTTGAAAGATAAAGATTTACAAGAATTAATTATTGGCAATGATTCTCACCAAACAGTCAGAGTGAAAAAGGAGACATTAAACGAGTATACAATAGGAATCATCTTTAAAAGGTTTCAAGAGGAAATTGAGGAATTGGAGCTGAGCGAATGTACATTTAGAGATGATTCAGATAAAATCTGCTTCTTCGAAAGGATTAGCAATTGTAAAAAATTGAAATGTTTAATCTTTGAAGAAGAGGAAATCAGGCTAAATGATCTGGAAATGAATTTTGATAAATTACTCAAATCAGTTTTGAACATGAAAAAGTTGAAAAAGCTCATTCTCAAGTCAACAACAACACCAATAAACACAAGGGAATATGATATTGAAGCAACAGCAAGTGACCCATTTTACGAAGACAAAGATTCGGCTACTTTAAGAATTACTCTATCAAATCTTGACAAAAAATATGGGTTAGGTCTTGTCATCAGTATCAAAGAAAACGAAATAGTTGGAGTAGAGTACTTTAGTATTGGAATGAACGATGAAATAACAACAGGATTTGTAGAAATGATAACAAATATTCATACTTTGGAATCAATTACATTAAATAATAAAATATTAAAAAGTGAATTTTGTAAACAATTCTTTCATCAACTGGAAAGTTTAGAAAATTTTAAAAAATACTTTTATTATAAATTGTCAATTGGATGAGATAGATGAAGATTTTTTTAAGCAATGCAGCAAACATTTCTGCAATTACTACTCAATGTTTCATGAGCAGAAAAGCAATGATTCCATTCAAGACGATCTCCCTAGTAATTATAGAGCATTTTTAAATACTAATCAATCGCTTCTTCCCTCCAACAGAAATAAATCCAACACCAATAATAAGGCACTCAACGAAATATCTATTGTAATTGAGGATGAATCGCCAAGGATTCTCCTCAACTCCGATGTTCAGAATGAAATGTTTCAGATTATTCCGTTAAAAGATGAAAAACACAACAAATTCATCGAAGAAGCGATTAGAAGTGATTTTATAACGTTTGCTGAAATTCCATTCTTTTATGGAGCTTCTACTGAAGAGAAGAAGAAATTCTTTCTCAACTTTTCACAGTTCAGCAATGAAAAGAAAAAAACAATGAATTTGAACAAGGAAGACAAGGAAGAGAATGAGAAGGTTGATAATTGCAGACTATTTATGAGCTATGTCATGAAAAGTAATGCTATTCAGAGAGTTTCAATGACTAATTTCAACATTTTTGGATTTTTGGAAGAATTTGAAAAATTTATGAATATATCATTCCAGAAATTGAAATATTTCCACCTGGAAAATATTGAAATAGATAACAGAATCAGTTCAATCTTTTCAAGTTGCCTTTTCTCTTTAAAAGGTTTACAATCAATTAAACTAAAGGATGTGAAATTTATTGATAAAGCAATGCTAATTTTCTGGCAAGGCCTAAATTCAATGAAAAGTGGAATAAAAGAATTTTCAGTTGAGAATTGTTACTTGGATAAAGAGAGTTGTTTTCTCCTTAGTCAAATAATCAAGAATTTCAAACAGTTGGAATATTTGCATTTATCGCAAATTATCTGTTTGGATTCTGAATTTAACCATATTTTCAAAAAGGTAAATAAAAAATTGAAATCTGTAAATCTGTCAAAATGCAACTTAAATCGTGTTTATCAATATGAAAATCTTATCATTTTGCTGAAGAATTTAAAAAATTATCTCAAATCGATATCTCACACAATACGCAATTTTACGGAATGTTCCGAGAGGTTATTGAGAGTTTAGAGAATTCGTCGAGTAAGTTAAAAAGCATCAATTTGAGTAGATGCAAATTAAACGAGAATAGTCTAAAAGTTGTCAGTAAATTCTTAAAGAAATGCTCCCAATTGGAAAATCTAGATTTAAGTGGAAATGTAATTAATGAGGAAGTTTGCTCTGATTTGTTTACAGCTTTATCAACTAATAAAATTATGAAAATTTTAAAGATTAACGATTGCAAACTGAAAATTGGCAAAAGTAATAAATTGAAAGAATTCCTGGCTGAATGTAAATGCTTAGAGATTTTCTGGATACATAATAATGTTGAAATTAGAGAAGAGAGAATGGCGGAAATATTTGAAGCTCTTTCACAGTCATCATCCAAGTCAACAATATTAAAGTTGAATTTTTTCTAATTGTAATCTCTCTCAGAAAAGTTTGAAAGCATTTTGGGATCTTTTCAAATCTCTACCAAATGCTCAAAGTATAAATTTGAGTAGAAATGAAAATATTGGCAAGCACTTGAACATTTTCTATTCAAGTGTACAATCAAATCAGAGTAACTTACTCTACTTGGATATTTCTAGTTGTAAAATAAGGGATCTCAATACTGTTGATGATGAAAATACTAAAGAGTATCTATTGCAGATTTAACTGCAACAAATTTTTATCACTTGGAAGGAGGACTCTTTTCAACAAAGTTTCAAAATAAAGATTTAAACTATTTCAGGAGTATTCTCCTTGAGAAAATGTCTGTACAAACTTTGAACAGAATTTAGTTTCCAGGAAATACCAGTGTAATGATGTCATCAAGCTTAAGGAAAGCCTTTTGAAAGACATAAAGAGTGAACAGCCTGATGATTTTAACAACTTATCTCATTTTAAGAAATGCATATTGAATGAGTCGTTATTTAAGGATGAAGCTGTTAGGGAATTTAGAAATCTTCTTTTTCAAGATTTGAGAAATTGGGCTTTGAAAAATTTACATAATTTCTTTATGGCTTTCAGAAGATTGAAATACCTGAATTTGAGTAATAATGAACCTCCTATGCTTGAAATTATACCTGCAATAATTAAGTCTTGTGCTCCTTTTCTTCATTTCTTGATTTTGAGATCCTGTAAGTTGTCGTACAGAGAACATGGACAGAATTTGAGCCATCTTCTCATTTATTGCAGATCTTTACGTTACTTGGACATGAGTTCAAATGAGAACCTGTTGGAAATTTCAAATGATGATGATCAAGAGAATGACATCCAGATTATATCAAAATTGAAATTAGCAAGTCCAACACTGCAATCTTTAAAATTCAATTTGTGCAATTTCAATGAACAAAATGGCAAAGAGTTGGCAGAACTACTGAAGGTATGTCCAAATTTAAGTGAAATTGACATTGGCGGAAATCCAGCTATTACTAACAGTTTAGGTGAAAATATTTGATTCATTAAGAAAATCTTCCAACTTGAAAGTTTTCAATATAAACAAATGTCCAATAACCAAACATTGTTTAGATAGCTTGAGCAAATTGTTTGATCATTGCCACTACCTTGAGGAGATCTATATAACTTTTGGTGAAAGGCAAGACAACAGCAGACCAACTGCTAGAACAACAAAGGACAAGGAGAGGGAGAAGGGGGAGGAGGATATAGAGAAGGAGATGGAGAAGGAGTTATGGAAAAGGAGATAGAGAAGGAGAAGAAGGAGAAGGAGAAGGAGGACACAGAGAAGGAATTGGAGAAGGAGGAGAAGGAGGATATGGAAAAGGAGATAGAGAAGGAGAAGAAGGAGAAGGAGAAGGAGGACACAGAGAAGGAATTGAGAAGGAGGAGAAGGAGGATATGGAAAAGGAGAGAGAGAAGAAGGAGAAGGAGAACAAGAACAAGAACAAGAACAAGAAAAGACTACTGTCAGATATATTTAAACATTTAAAGAATTCTTCATTGACATTGAGAGTATTTCACCTGTCAGGTTCAATTATAAAAGAGGATATAGATAATATCGTCAATTTTTTAGTCAAATGTCGAAATTTGAGTAATGTAACATTGGAAATAAATGAGGAAAGCAGATTATTAATTTTAAAGAGATAACCGATATTATCTCATCAAATAGTGTCTATCATTCAAAATTCTTTCCTTGGCTTAACAAAGCAAAAAGTAATATGTCGAATATAGTAAAAAAGGCTAGATTGAACAATGACAATGGTCAAAATCCCAGCTTAACCAGAATTTGGCAGAATTTTGTAAACTTAACAGCTAACTGTCATAAAAATTATTTAGATGGCGTGAAATTTCTACCCAATATCGACCTAAAAACAGTTGCTCAACCAGAATACACCAAATTTTTCAACCAATTATATATGCCATTACTTTTGAAGCAAATTAAACCTTTTCAAAAAACAACCAGCAATTTAGCTGATGTTATGTTTTTGGAATCCATCAGCAATTCGGCAGTGAATAATTTCATTATTGGATCGGCTCAAATTGGCAAAACAACACTGTTCAATAGAATTCTGTATTTATGGTCGAAGGAGGAGAAACTGCAAAATCTTTTGGTATTAAGGTTAATGTTGAGTGAGATAAAAAGCCCCATATCCTTAGTTGACTGCTTGTTTGATTCAAATTATAAACATTTGAGAAACGGCATTAATAGGATAAAGGAGAATTTGAATATGCTTTTGGAATATTATCCCAAAAAGTTGTTGATTCTTATTGATGATGATGAAGAACATTCAAACTATCCGGATAGTAATCTAAGCAGAATTCTTAGAGAAGAGATGGCATGGAAAATTAGAAAGTTGATTTTCATTAGAAATTTAAGGCAACCATCAATTCCTATAGATTATATATTCACAATAAAAGGTATCAATCCCAAACACAATATGAACAGTCTTAAGGACATCTATTGTATTATTCTGGAAGCAATACATTTTCAGCAATCAAATAACAATTATTCCATGTTGATGACTTCTTTAAAAGGCTTCAAGGAATTTTGCACTCATCCTTTGTGTTTTTACTTGTATTTTTAACTTTATCTGAGAAGTATAATCAACATGATCCTGCCTTACAAAATGCAATTCAACAGTTTATAAAGATTTTAAATGAGAAGAAAAGGAGTCATTTCCAATGGGAAAATAACAACAACAATACAAATGATGTCCTAGTACAATACTATACAAATTTAACATCAATGAAGCTTGACAGTCTCTTATCCACTGGAATTATAAGATATAATCCACAAGCTATTTTCCCTTTAATTCATGGTTGGAATAAATTATTCATATTACCTGCAATTGAAAATTACTACCTGAGAAAATTCTTTGTCTCCAGATCATTAGATCCATCAGGTGTGCCATTGTTTAAAGCACTTTCCGAAGGAAATTTCTGGGAAGTACCTTATCTTTAAACATTCGGAATGCAGGTGATATGAGCCTCTTCCTCTACCTATGTAAGAAATCTGTACACCAATTCAATAAAATAGTAATTAAGTATAAGGGTGACAAAAGAATCTTTTTAGCCTTACAGAAAAGGCATAAACAAGATATTAAAGTTTTAGCAATAGTCAACCTTTGTGCAAGTGAAGTGTTCTGTCCAGCCAAAAATAACAGTACAGTTTTTGGTCATTTAAAGAATGTAATTGAAAAAAGTCTGCTTCAATTTCCAAGTAACAGTAATTTATTGCTAAAAGAGATGGTGATGAATTTACATATATGGATTTGAATTCTTACAATTTGAAATCATTTTTCACTGATACAACCAGTACATTCATCTATTGTACAGAAATTCTGTTGAGTGATGCAAGTTTGAACGAGATCACTTGCAAACATCTGCAAACATTCCTGTCTATGCAATTCTCTTTAAAAGTCTTTGATA